ATCCCTCCCTTTCCCCTCCCTCAGATCTCTATAAATACCCACAAAAGGGTTACATCACCCTTGGCACAGAGAGAACTGCTCCTGCTCTCCGAAGATGCCGGTCACAGGTGCTGGCGAAACGTTAGGAAACAAAACTTCCAGAACACGGCCACACAGCCCGGAAGACCCACACCAGTCATTGTTAATAATAGAGTTTTTTAGAAAATTAAATGATGTTTTAAACTGGCAGTATTTGAACTTGACTGGTAAAAGCTGTGGAACTATTGGGGTTTGGAGGACCCTAATTCTAAATATGGTGAAGAGAGGCTGACAGAGTCCAGACACACATAAGAAAACCACATTAGGTTAAGCCCAGATAATCTAGGAATTACTGGCTGGGTTCTCACATTGCTGTAAGTCTGGTTTATGTTAAGAATGGTTAGTTGAATAAGCCACAATGTATTCACATTTCTTTCTTTCTTTCTTTCATTCATTCATTCATTCATTCATTCATTCATTCATTTATATGCCACCCATCTCCCCCAGAGAGTGACTTTGGGCAGCTCACAATGAAAATCCAAAACAGTAAAAACAATGAAAATATAAATATCCATATTAAAATTAGCTAATATGCTAATAATGCTAAGCCATAAACCATGGTTTACAAACGACACTAGCTGGGTATATATTTCACTGAGCCAGAATCAAGGAAAACACAGTTTACCTTAGCACCATGTCTGAATCCAGCTGCTGAGTAGTGGAACAGACCAGACTGAACAGGAATGAACCAATAAACCAAACTCTTATTGGTTTAGTTACCTGAAAAAGGAAGGGGTTTCTCTACTTGAAAGAGGAGAACTACGTGATGACCTTGTGAGATGAATTTTTCCAGTCATGATTGAGGAATGAAAGGTGGGCATGATGTGCAAAATGGGATTTTCTTGTGCTGATGTTGGCTAGAAGTCTTTCATCCTAGTGGTGAGTAAAGTTTTAACAGAGCAGGGAGGCATAACTTGATTCTGTGCCTTGATGACTTCATTAGGTGAGGGCAGAGTTAGGCAATCTAGTGTCTTCCAGATGTTTTGGACAACAATTCTCATAATTACTGACCATTGGGTATGTTGGAAGAAGTTAACTTGCAAAACATCTGGAGGCTATAAAGAGAAGTTGGTATTACAAACTGCAGCTATCTTCTTCTGAATTGTGAAACCTTTCAGTTTGCATGCAAGGTGAAGGTATATGAGGAAGTTTGTAAAGGGAAGTGAAGCAGAAGTTCTCAGCAGTGGCATTACTGGAGGACTAGGAAATAATGATTACACATGATGATGATGGTTGACAGTCAGCCAGATGTTTAGACTGGATTTGGCATTTTTATCCACCTATCGAGTCCTTCCCAAGGACCTGGGATAGGCAGATGTTGTGTGATGGTGTTAAAGGTATCATCGCAGGATGTAAATTGCTCCAAGTAAAGCTGCCTTTTGCAATTGACTGATGGTGATGTTGTCAATGTCACCATCAGTCAATTGCTATTGTTATTGTTATTATTTTATTTAAATGTATATGTCACCTGACTCCCAGTGACTCTAGGTGGTTGTGTTGTGTGAAGCATTGGAATGAGATGTTTTGCAAAGGGCAAATGATTAAAGCCTTTTGCAATCAATCAAATCTTTACTACGGTCAAAGACCAGCATAAAGCCTTTTGCAAGGATCACATGATGCAAACCAAAAAATGCTGCTGCTTTAATGAACAGAGTTGCTTCATTCGTGTTCTCGTAAGTTGCAGAGCACTGCAGATGTGGTCAGATGCATAGCACAGCCCTACTACATAATTCTCAAGTTCAACAACAATCTGGAGAATTCCTTCCTGTGGGTTGTATGCCTTACAAATGTTTTACATTGCCAAATGAAACTTGTGCCAGGGCTGGGAAGAAAGAAAAGAAAAGCTTTCAGTTGTCTGGCTGTTTTAGATACCTATGATTTAGACATTCGTATGTTTTGATTTACATGCCTGATTTTCTGGCATGATCAAATATGATATTTTTAGTGTTCAACAGAGGGTTGCTAAGGTTTACATTTCCTTGGTTTAGACTTCAAATTGGCTTAGCAAATTACAAAGCTCATCTTAAAACTAAGGCAAGCATTAAGGTGCCCAGTTCCTCCCTGGCCTTAAATCTACGCCTGAGATCACCCCATTACTTGACTGTTGCTCCAACAGAGCAATATTTTATTGCATTCCAACAGTATAGGCTTGAAGGATGGGAAAAATCTAATAAAATAAGGGGGGAGGGAGACATTTTTAAAGAATTAAAAGACAAATGCCTCTGAAAAATTAAGCAAGTTGTGTTTTGTTTTCTGAAAATATGAACCTTCAAATGTTGATGTATTTTCTAGTGCAAGAGATGACCTTCCAGTGTCTCTGGCAATAGTTCAAGCTGGGAAAAAAGACCAAGGCCTATATCTTTGCTGCTTGAAGAATATATATGGAAAAGCAACTTCAGAATTTAACCTGACCTCTGAAGGTAACATATGATGAATGATTCCTTAAACATAAAACACAACTGCAATTAACAATTTATAGGCTGTATTCTGATTATATTGCTTTTCATCCCTCCGCAGTTTTGGGACATCTTTCCAGTCTTCAGGATGTTGAAGGTAAAACTATGTGATGTTTTTTCCTATATAAACTGTTGCAGAATTATTTATTTATATTTCAAATTTGGTCACCGCCCATCTCAATAGGAAGTGACTCTGGGTGGTTTACAGTAAACAATGCAAATTATGCAAAATTATAACCAAATTGGGGTTCATTTTGCATATCCTTGACAAATTTAAGCTGGGATGCCTTAAGGTTTCACTCCAAAACACATGCTAATTATTTCCATTCTGGAACAAGAAAAATGGTATGGAATAAGATAAGACCTATCTGAGCATTTGCTGAGTATCTGCCTATCAACACTGAGCAAACTGATTCTGAAGATGAGATAGCTAATCCTGCTTTTGACTTCATCCTTAAAAAGAAGCACAGGACCTAAGATTTTTCACAATTAAGGCTCAAGGATGATACCTCATTTACTTTACATAAGCTGTGTGTCATGTGGGCAACCCACATGAAAGACAGGTAGTTTTGATTGCACCATCACAGCCATCATCTTGACTTTTTTGACCAAACCCTGAGGATACCCTTGCTTTATCTTATCCCTAGCCCCAGAGGAGGCAACCTAAAAATTGTCCTTCAATATTTCAGTTTTAAAGTAGTTCTTCCTCTGCTCTCCAGACACAATTTTGGCTATATATATAATCTATTAGGTTTAATTGATGTTGTGGTTGCTGCCTGAAGAATATACATGGAAAAGCAACTTCAGAATGTAACCTGACCTCTGAAGGTAACATATGATGAAGTTGTATGCCAGCAGTAGATATGCTGGGGGTAGGAGGCCAGGAGTAGATATGCCCCTTGGAAACTGGCCTAGAAGACCCCAATGGTCCTTTCCAATCTTAAGATTCTTTTATTCTATTGGCCACTTTAAGCTGCTGTAGGAAGGACTCCATCTCTCTGCTGATTTTGAAGAGTTTGTTGAAGTCTCAGATATGAAGCTCCAGAAGGAGGAAGAAACATGTTCCCAAAGGTTTACTTCTTTGAAAAATAATTCCATGATCAGGAGGAAGCTGAGAAAAGAAAAATCTTAGTGTGCTACAATTTAACTTCCCTGGTCAACTACTCGTGAGATGGAAGAGAAAATTTTATATATATTGATTTGGGTATAGTAACTCTCCACCCAACTAAATTGTGGTTTCTCCTGCAATGAGAAGGCTATGTGACCATTTCCATGGGAGTAAGAGATTCTTTATTTATCCTCGTTCCATGCTGCCTTTGCACCTAGTTGCTTCTAAGTGACCTACCAAAGATCAACAGTAAGTTATAGAAAACTTATACAAAATTAACAGCAGACCCACCTGGAGGAGGAGGAATGCTCTGAAAGTAATTAAGTCTTGTGATCCAGGCTCTATAGCAGAGAGTAAATCTCACTGAATCTAGTGACTTTACATCTATACATTTTGGCTTGATCCATGGAGTCACAGGCTTGGTGAGCAAACAACCATGTCTTCCTGCAGCAGGAGGAGTGGGGAGAGACAGCTCTTTACCCACCAGTCTTTGAGTCCTCCTGGGGTGTCCACAGGATATGGTCAAAATGTGCCAACATACTTTTACAACAGCTCAAGGACTGGTGGATTGCACTTTAACCTTTCCGTCTGTCTGTCTCCTATCCAAAGAGAAAGGCAACAAATAATGTTTTGAAAAGTTTTCTTCATATGTTACTGATTCTTTAATCACATCAGCATGTGGACTGCAGTGTCTGTGCTAAACATAGATAATGCTTTTGCCAACAGGTTTTGTCAATGCCATATATAACATGTTACTCAACTTTTGGTCATTCAATCAACTGAATGGTGACTTGTTCTGACTCCTCAAGATGCAGGATTAATTGTTCCATTCCCTTTAAAACAGGTGCATGGCTTTTTACTTACTAACTACAAATGTTTCCTTATGTACTTTCAGTCTTGAGATCTGATGCATGCTGAGTGTTCTTAAAAGGGAATTTGGTGTAGTAATGATATATGAGTTGAACGGAAGATAACTCCATTATCACAACAAGACAATTGCAAGTATTAACCACGGGTTGATTGTGTTCACTTTTAAGTTCTGGGAAGCAAGGGCCATAGTAGGTTGACAATAATGCAAGATGTTTTTGGAGAAGGGATTTGTTGTAATTGGGTGTCTGGGTAGTAATTCTTCTCCTTTGTGTTAAGCATGTTTTAGTGCTTATTCTACAACTTTCTAGTTGTCTCTGTCTCAAAATGTCAGGAATTTTGGCCAGTGCCCAAATTTCAGAGGGGTGCCAGAGGGGATGCTGGCCCCCACAGAAAGGAGATATGCAGGTTGCCACCCATGGATACATAGCCACTGAGAATGTAGAAACCGGCATTCTTATTGACATAGCAAATGTTTCCATAGATTTATTTGGTGAATTCATTCATCTACAAACTGTCCAGACAGCTATAACTATTGACGAGAATAGCAATGCAATTAATACATCGTTGGATTCTTAGGATGCAAGAAAGATGTGATTTTCATGCAGGAATAGATATTGCTAGTTCTTCTGATGATCTCTCCATGTGTATGGAAACCTAATCATGTCTACATCCCATCCACATGGCTTTCTGATACACTGGATTATGATTTTCTCCACTCCCCCCAGTATGACCATTGATTATGGTACTTGGGGAATATGGGAATTGAAATCCAATATCCAGGTTGGGGAAGGGCAAGGGGTGTCCACATGGGAGGTCAAAAAAGTCAAGATGATGGCCATGACCATGCAATCAAAGCCCCACCCTCTTTTTACATGTGTTGCACGTGTCCAGCATATAATAAAGGAGTGGGGCTTTGATTCCATGGTTGCACTGCCATCTTGACTTTTTTGACACACACACAGCAGAGACACCCCTGAAGAGCTAACTTACTACAAAGTGGATCTGCAGAGTATTGAAAAGAGCTATGGATAAAAGGTGTACAACTAAGTAGATCTAGGAAATATGACAAAAAAGGTGATTCACTGTAAATTGTTTTCAAATTATTGGAATAATGTGAATGGAATAGACATTTTTTTTTCTGAACGTTTTATGCACTTGATGGAAGGCTTCATTATTTTTTATCATTTTATTGTAAGATTTGTGGGGTGACTCTTCTGTTGGAATAATGCAACATAAAATGACCAGAAGGAATAAGAACTACTGTAATGCCAGAACAAAGTTTTATGGTAGACTAAACCCAACCTGTTAAGGGCTCCATAGATCAATCTCATTTCATTTCAGCTAATTAATTATATTGTATATTATAATTATCCATTTTGAGTGACTACCATCAAGTATTGCTTTACCAATGAAAATGAAAAGCTTAACAGATTTTCTTTCTACAAAATTGCCAACATGTTTGCAGGCAGCTTCCACACCCAAATATTTGCTAGTCACAGTGCAGCCTTAGGCACCCCAATTCAGAAATAAGTTCCACCAATGTCAATGGACTTTACTCTCCAGTAACTGTATTATATTCCAGCCTCAGTAACATATCAATTTCTTATTTATTTATTTATTAAATTTATATGCCGCCCATCTCCCCCAGAAAGTGACTAATGGTACATGTGTTCAGCTAAGCAACAGAACTACCTGTTTATGAAGAGCAATACGTCATCACAAGAGAAAAGTAGTAACTATGAGTCACAGAGTTATATGAACAGACTTTAAGAGTGGGTTCTAGTTGTTGGGGTATTTTAGATCTTTGTGGTGATCAGAAACCACAAAGTTCTTGAGCTTCAGCAGTGCATTTTCAAGAAGTATGAGAGTCAGCAATAGGAAGGACAGTTTGAAAACTCGTATAAGCTTGTAGACATTCCCTTGTACTTTCCCTTTTGTTTTCTCCTCTGGATTGCTTGCTTTGAAAGTTTGTGGTGATTGGGCATTAGAACTGTCAATCAAAGTCTGATAATACAGGGTACCCCATTCCAGTTTATACTCTGGAGGGCAGGGAGAACTGAGTGGAAGGACAGCTCTGAGGGAAGGTTGGAGTCCTAGCTCATCTAACAGAATGACAGGTTAATTAATACAGGTAGTCCTCATTTAGCAACCACAATTGGGACTGGTAATTCAGCCATTAAGTGAAGTGGTTTCTAAGTGATTTTACTTCATCTTTCCTTTGCTTTACAGACCTGCAAAGGTCATAAATGCAAGGTTTGGTTATAAAGTTACTTTTTCATCACTGTCATAACTGCAAATGGTCACTAAATGAAACAGTCACTGAATGAGGTCTACCTGTATATATTTAATGCCAGGGAAGGCAAGGATGGACAGGCCATAGCTACACTGCAAAATTAAAGGAACCTGTTTACAATTCATTTTAAATTACTAATAAAAGGTAATTAAGTTTCTAATTTAAATGTTGACAGAGGGGCTGTGCTGTTCTTGTCCTTCCCCACGTTCTGGCTAACAGAATCCTGAGAGAGGGAGATGACACAGAGGAGAAGGAAGTAATTTTCAAATCCGGAAAAGGTTTGGTGGCAGCAATGACGCCAATACAGATCATTCTAGATTATTGTAATTATGTTTTAGTTCTGAAGAAGAAAAGATAACAAGGAAGATACACACAACAGAGAGGGTGTATGACAATCTTTTTTTTTTTTTTTCATTTGCCTTCATGTTGCAGTTGATACAAGCATATAACCTTTCCTTTGTTTGGATTAATACATTTATTTACTTATTAAGTAGGCTTGGAAGAGATAGAATTCTTGCAGCTTATGTTCAGAGAAGACTTCATCTGTGACAGTTACTTGAGTAAAAGTCTGCACGGAAGGATTACTACAGAAGAGTTACATTTTGGGGAAGGGGTGCATCGAAAAGCTTTCCGAAGCAAAGTGCTGCAAGGCTTGGTGCCTCCACTCAGCCCAGGTCACCCCTGTGTTTTGAAAGTGCACAATGCCATTGTGTATGGGACCAAGAATAATGATGAACTTGTGAAAAAGAATTACAAATTGGCACTAGAGGTAAGTGTGTGCAGTAGCCCCCTGTAATTAAGTCCACCAGGGCAGTGGTATCCACGGGCGGAGAGGTCAAAACAGGCAAGATGGTGGTCCCAGCATTGTGATAGAAGCCCCACCCCTTTGTACATATGTCACTGATATATGTACAAAAGAGCGGGGCTTCACTCGTGGTGCTGTGGCCACTATCTTGCCTGTTTTGACCCTCTCTGTGGACAGCGCTGCTCCAGGAACAAGCTGGTGTTCAAATATACATGAAACTGACTCCTTTCTCACTGGGTTTTCTTTCATATAGGAATGTTATGTTCAGAACACAGCAAGAGAGTATGCCAAGATATATGCTGCTGAAACACAACCTCTAGAAGGCTTTGGAGAAGTACCTGAGTAAGTAGACTTTTACAACTTCTTGGAAAAATGAATATAAGCATTGCATGATGGATGTCATTTAGGAGTAGCTCTGTTGTTAGTTAAGAAAGGACACTGAAACTAACATGTGTCAGCTGCTCTCTGTAAAGGATCTCTAGTTTACCCTTCAGCAGTTCTTTTGGGGAATTTATTGGTCAAAGTTGGGAAGACTTATACATGCATGATTTTCTCCTCCCTCCACCAGCAACCTTGACTGGATGAATGAACTTTTTCTGCACTAGGTGGCATATTCATGTTTGGAGGCTTCAAAAAACTAGAAGGCCTTTAATTAACTTCCTAAACTTCCCAATTACTATGCCCCACAATTTTAATCAAGTAATAGAATTTTTAAAACAATTGTTAAGGAGGCTTGTCCAGAGACCCATGTCCTCCAGATCCCTCCATGATTCAAGGACTACTGCAGACCTGCCATTCACTCTTGAATGGAGTGGAGTCTCACATTTTTCTCTATCTTTTCAAATTATATTCAAGTTGAAATGAAAACATCAGGGTATAGCCCAACCCAAGTTAAAGCCTTGTGTCCTCAAAACATTTATTGAGAAAAATGTAATTAGAGATTCTATTTTCCTGACAATGTATGATTAGAAGGTGTACGTTTTCTTGTGTCATGCCCTGAATATTTCAGTTATTTTCTATATTCCATGAGCTTTGATGTCCTTTTTTGCATCCTTTACTTAGTTACATTAGACGGTGCATTTGTGAACTGCTCTCTTTCTATCTGACTAATATTTTATAACATAAACCACATGAGCTTAAAGACGATCCAGTTGCAACTTTCCTTTTCCCATAAATTTAGTAAACCTTGCCAAATGGATTATCCCAGGTATGGTAAAAGTTTTATTCACAGCATTGGACATTCTTGGAGATGTCTAGCATAAAACTGCCCTGTATGAAGCAGATGACCATCTGTAGAAAGGGGGGGGGGCAAAATAGATCAGATTTCTGGACCAAAAAAAAAAAATTCTTCCAACCTGTTAAAGAAGTATATAAATTAGGGATAGACAATAAAAATCCAAGGGTTAGAGAAGACATAATATGGTGATAGAGTCCATGATTTGCATTGGAGTTTGCAAAAACATTCAAAAGGGATATTTGGTAGAGTTTATTAGCAGAAACAAATCTCCATTTTTTTGGAACCATTAAAGCAGCCATGTCATTTGCAAGGCTTATAGAGGGCTGTCCCTGACTGTCCATGTGTAAATGCACAAATAATACTTCTGCTGGGACTACTAGCAGAGTGAAGTGGTTGCATATGCACATTGACACACACACTCAGTCAAGGACAGGCTTTCAAGCAGCCACCTGAATTGTACTCTGTACAGCACCATACCCACAGAAAATACTATAGAACAGTTTAAGGGAAGCCCTGACCTCAAAAACCAGTTCTGTTAAAATTAACTTTGGTTCTTAATATTGACTGTGGGAGTGCCAGATCATCTTGAACTTTGTAAGGAAACACTGCAGTGAACGGCTGCCTCAGCACATTCAGACCTCTTCTAAAGAATTTGCTGCTGCATCAAATGGTGCTGAAATTCTTCCTCCTCCTAGGTGACATTTGGAATAAGGCTTGCCTGTGGTTTCTGTATGACTTAAGAGATTGCTTCTGATAAGTCAGAATTTTTTGAAAATGTTGAAGAAGAAGAGTCCTCCTTCATACGTTGGCCATCCATGTTAACAAAATTGCTGGGCTCCTACGGTATCATTGCTATACGATTATGCCCGCGCCTTTCACTCTGACTGCTTTTATTCCATAAAACACTGTTAAAAAAAGAGAAACCTAGGGATGGTCAAACCTTCCTTGTTCACTTTTGTTAGCATTCTCATTTTTTTAAGCAAGGTTTGTTTTTTGGTCATTTGGTTAAAAAAAAGTCAAGTGGGTTTCTCCATGTGTTTTCATCAGATGGCTGAAAATTCAGACACATTCTCATACGTATTTTCTTCCAATATGTACATTTTTATAAGTATTTTTTTCTAATGTAGACCTTTTGGAATATGTATATTTTCAAAAGATGTATACTCTTTCTCTCAATTTTTCATTACACACACAGAAATCATATAAGATGATTGGAAAGCTAAAGGATAATTGTGTTTTGCTTTGTGTGGTAGTTCAATTATTGCAAATTAGGCTGTTTTATTTTAAAATCCAAAGCATACTTCTTTGTTTTTGATCCCTTGATAATCCAGCCTACTTCTATTCATTAAATAGCTCTACAAGGCTGCTACCTCTCTGGCAGTTCTGGGGTTATAAAAAATAGTTCAAACAAGGTGAAAATGCAGAGCTAAGAATAGAGTTGGTATATGGGGAAACTTAAAAGAAAGCTGTAAGCAGCTCATCAAAACACATTGTGCTGGAACTAGAAGTAATGATGGAATTGCCTTAGGAGTCTTACGTACATGTCACTGTAACTGGACTTGTATATGTGAAGAATTTTCCATATGAATGCACAACATACAAAGGCTGGCAAAATTTGCTACTGCTGAAAGAATTGTTACTGTGTTGGGTGCTTGATGTCCCAGGCATACTCAGTGTTATGACCTTTATCTACTTTTCTCAGAATTGAATTATACATTTCAGGTATAACTGGCAAGATACAGCTTGCCAAGATCCAAATACTCACCATCTCACACCATCTAGAAGAAACCAGTGATGTATAGTGTGGTGAAAATGTACATCATTTGGGAGAAGACAGTTTCCCTTCCCTTCCCCTTCCCCTTCCCCTTCTCCTTTCTTCTTGTTCTCTTCTGGTATGCCCTGTGTTTCTACTCCATGTTTCCTTTCCTGATTAACAGAATCCCAGTGCAGCATTCAGTATAAAGGGGTACTCATTACACAAGCAATTCTGGACAACCCTGTCCTACACATAGTATTTATTCAGAGAGTGAAGGGGAAGCCTGGTCAGCTTTCATGCAAGTCAAAGAACCTGATAATACAATTATACGTGCAAAAGCTCTTCTGTTTGTATGATATCCACACTGTGGACATGATCATCTTGTGGGGGCTGAAATCATTTGAGTGACATTGGCAGGACTTTCAGGAGAGTTTGCTTGAAAGATGTACTGTACTTTGATACATTTGAAGAAACAAACTGAGAAGGTGTTCTTTGTCATGGTTTCTATTCCATACCTTCTCCATTACTTTGTGAAAATGCCAATGTGCATTGCTAAGATGCTGCATAAATGCCATGGTGATCTGATAAGAGATATTACACACAATCCTGGGTTTTGTTAAGAAAAAGAATCAAAGAAATGTGATAAAACTATATGCATATTAAGGTTGTTTATGCGCTATATTTTACAGATCCTAACAGTGAAATCTACAAAAAGAGAATTTTGCTTTGTCATATAGAAAATCATAAATTCTGGAAACAAAAATCAGAGCAATGAGGAATTCCTAACACCTGATTTTAATCTGGAAAAACGATCAAGTAATTTAGAACTTCATTGTTGGAGGTGGCGGCAAGGCATTTTGTAAGGAAATTCTTGCCTATCCTAGCGCCCTCCAAATGTTTTATACTGTAATTCCCATTGTTCCTTGATCACTGGCCATGCTGAATGGGGCACACAAAATTAAGGAAGCATGTTTTCTCCACTAAAGCATTGAATATATCCCAAGCTCTAACTTAATAGGTCCTTAAAATATGTTTTCTAAAATTATTCCTGAGACCCTAAGTTTTCACTGTGTGTCTTTTGTTTTTTGTTTTAACTGGTTCTGCTTTCAGAATCATTCCTATTTTCCTTATTCATCGGCCCAAGAATAATATTCCTTATGCAACAGTGGAAGAAGAACTAATTGGAGAATTTGTGAAATACTCTGTTAGGGATGGGAAAGAAATAAATTTTATGCGAAGAGACTCGGAAGCTGGCCAGAAATGTTGCACATTTCAGCATTGGGTATATGAAAAAACCAGTGGCAGCTTGCTTGTAACGGATATGCAAGGTGAGAACCTTACCTGTTGTGCAGTGGTTAATGGTAAATGTAGTATTATGGCTGGCATTTCCACAAACAGGAGCACAGAGAGGCAGCGCATTCCTTGTTGTACCTGAATTCTCAGCTGATGATTGCTGATCTTCATTTTCATAGAATAAATTCCACCTGCAATATAATGAAAATACTGTTGTAAATCCAGCATTGTAAATATTGTAAATATTACCAAATTAATGAAGCCAACCGAAAGCAAACACACAAAGGTAAGCAACCTTTAGAGATGCCTGCACATTTTGTAAATTTTGTTGTAAATTTAGATTACTGCCTCACAAATTCATCATCTTTTATATCTTTGGTGCCTTTTGTCTGACATTTGAACACCTTAAAGGGGACTCAAGGTTCATAAAAAACTATTGCAGAGGCCTGATTCCCAGTGGGCTGGCAAATAACAGATGGAACAGCCTTTATTTATTTATTTATTTATATTTCAAATTTAGATACTGCCCATCTCACAAAAAGTTCTTTTTAACCTATGTTTTCACAAGCTGTGGAGAAAGGAAGTCATTTTTTGCTAGAGCTATCACTGAAAAAGAAGTTTCCGTGCCTGTTTTTTTTATAATCAGCTGAAAGAAATTAAGCAGTGTTAACAAGACTTAGCACAAGACTCATGAGTGATACTAATAACAACAAAACCACCAGTAGTCAATTGCAAAAGGCAGCTTTACTTGGAACAGCTTCCATCCTGCGATGATCCCTTTAACACCATCAAACAGCAACATCTGCCTATCCCAGGTCCTTGGGAAGGACTCGACAGGTGGATAAAAATGTCAAATCCAGTCTAAACATCTGGCTGACTATGCAACCAACCATAATAATAATGATGATGATGATGATGATGTCTTCAATTTGTATGGCCACCCATCTCACCTAAGTGACTCTTGGTGGCTCACAACCATCAAACAAATTTAATTAGGAAGGAGCTCCAAAATTGCTCTTGAACATTGTAATAAAATGTGAAGTGGAGGAGCCAGAGTTCTTCAGTCATAACCAGCAGTTTGAATTGAATCTAAACTGCAGCCTAGAGTAGATGATGGACCAATGCGCAACTAATGACTCATAGATATCAGATGGGTAGGGAAGGGAGAGATCTTTCTGTATTTGCAAAAGTTATTAAAGTTATTCAATTGTCTTCTAAGATAGCTGGTGTATATAGCAGTTATGGAATATCAGTCCAAATATGAGGTCATCAGTCCAAATTTGCATCAGCTACAAAATCTCTAAGTCATCCTTCCCCAAACTGATGATGTTCAGATACGTTGGACTTCAGTTCCCACAATCCCCAGTATCACAGCCAATGTTGAGGTTGAATTTTTTTCCATAATTTTTATTAAAAAATTTAATTACAGTAATAAAAACAAATACGAACCAAACTCAGAAAAAGAAATAGAAAGAAAGAATAAAAACTGCAAAGAAAGAAAAAGAAGAAAGTAAGATAAAATATGTAATAATAATAATTGCTCTTGTGAGCAACATGGTTACTGTACTGTCATCAACAGAATAACAAAGAAGAACTCTCCTTTGAGTTGAATTTCATTCCCAGTGACCTCAGGGACACGTCCATGACCTTTTCTTGACAATTGTATGGAAACGGGTTACCAGTGCTACGTTCTCAGTCTAGCCTACAGACCTGGAAATCCCATCCAAGTATATCCAGAGCTGACCCTGCTTAGGTTCCCAGCTCAGGCAAGGTCAGCCAAGGGCTCCCACCTGCTGAGACATTTGGCTTCTTTGCCTACCCTTAAGCTGCTGTGTGTAAACCACTTGGAAACCCCTTTCTGAATGTCAGGCTGTTTATTGGACCATAGCCCTGATTAGTGGTTTCCCATTCTTCCTTGCCCTCCTGGACTGGAAAAATAGAAAACACCACAGGTTTACCATTTTTCCTGTCTATAAAGGAAAAGTGGCAGGATTCTGTCAATTTCATTCAAATCCTTAACTGTTTCATCAGTGAACTCCTTAAAAAATAGCTTTTAACTATTCCACTGATGCGCTTGTGAAAAAAAGGGCCGTGGAGGGCAGGGACCGGGAGTTCCTATCCAATGCACAGTAGCCAGTTGGAGTGGAGGTCTTGGTTACAACGGAAGGGCCAAACTGAACAGCATCCCTTGAGCCAACATAGGTCAGAAAACATTCGTTTTGATATGTAGTAGAAAAACACGGGTGGAGACTGCTTTCTTGATGCACTAGGTGTTGAAGATGTCCATGTTCTCTTTGCCTTGAGAAATGGTCGGTGGCCTGTACTGGGGCAAGATGGTCATGCAGATCAGCCCATAGTAACAAAAGCTGTGATAACACCCCAGCCTTCCCAGGTTTCAAGAGATGGAGTTTTGTCAAAATACAGGGAAGTAGATACTACTGTAGTTTAATCTGGTCAAGAAGCATCTGTAAAATCACTTGGACTGCTCCACTCCACGAGGCTTTGGTGGATTTCCATGGGATCCCATCCCATGGCCTGATTGAAATGGCCCACGGAGGCGGATAATCTGATGGCTGCCATCATGTTACCTTTGCATTTGCCTATCCAGGGCTTAATGTTTGCAAATAGAAATAGAAATAGACATCCTTCCTCAAGAAAGTTGGATATTTCCTTTACCTGGACCCACTCAAGTTTGTAACAACATTCGAAATATGATGCTTATTGGCAAAGGAAAGGAATCAATTAGCTGCCTGCTGTGACAAATATTCCCCTCCCACACTGATACTATATTGAACCAATCTAACAAATGCAGCAAGACATTCCTAGATTATGCCCCTGCTAGAAACAGATTGAAAACAGAATCAATTAACATAATGTGCCCTTGTAATAGACCTGCAGGGTGCATTTCAGCTCACCTGTTATTTCACTGTCAACTCCTTGAAATAATGAGGGGATGATGGCCATGGAGATTCTAGCTTTACTCATATTTTAACAGGAAAGTAAACAATCCATGACTGAATCACACAGTTGCCCCCTTCCACTGAACAGTTCTAATTAAGATGGGCTGGAGATAAATTGAGACTAATTTCTAGGCTGCTAGTGACTAGTGCACAAAGCAATCAATGTTCTGTAATCCAAGAGGGGTTGGAAGGCTTCTGGTTAGAGAATGTTGATGTCTATATATTCAGATGTCATTTCCATGTAATAGGCAGCCAATATATCGAGGTGGAAGAGATACAGCATCCACCATTCCATATGCTTTGGCTGTTCCAGGTTTAGGAGACCTGTGAATGAGTCTTCTGTTTACTCTAGCATCATTTATCATCATGATGGAAGTCTATCAAGAGGTTTAAATTTTCCAGTGGTACAGAAATTGTATAGCTCAGGGTTGGATGTTGGGTTCTTCTTGTTCTCTGAGCTTGGTTGTTTTCTTACACATATTTCTTGCAAACAAATCCAGAGCACATGCTATCTAGCGACCAACACCCAGAGAAACAGATAAAGAATTAGGAAAGAATCAATGCCGTGATCAAAGAATCATCAAGGAAAAAAACACCACATCCCAACTGAGACTAAACAACCAGTAAACTCCTTTCTCCCATGCACTGATGATGCTACCTAGCCTGGTAATGAAATGTCTTCAGGAAAACAACCAAGCTCAAAAAATACCAAGAACCTAACAGGTTTAAATGTTTGTGCTGATTATTTATTCATTAAAAATGAAGTCCTGCCCCTCCAAACAAAGCTTCCCCAGGGTAGCTTGCAAATAGCAATCAATCAATCATGCTGCAATGCTATACATGCTTACGAGGAAATAAGTCCATTTTAAGTTCTGTGAAGCCTACTTTAGGAAAGTTTCCCAGAGTGGTGGCAGACATCATTTAATATAACACATTAAATTCAAGATGCTCCTTTGCTAATTCACTCCTTAGTTATTATGAAACAAGCTATACAGATTTCTGTACTTCGTAGGTGGGCCATGGAACCAAACCTGCCTCACTGAGTTTTTCCTTCTGCTTGCCCGTTTCTTGCTTCTCCCCCTTGCATCTCTTGTTTGCAGCCTCTCACCCTGCCATTTCTTCCATTATTCTAGTTTAGAGGCTTATCTTTATAACTTAGCAGTGGCACACTGGGACTATGAGATGGCTATGCTTTTGAAGTGTTCATTGTTCACCATTTCAGTATTTTCTTGTCCTAAGCTACTTTGAACGCATATTGGAAAACTGGCATATGCATCAAAATGAAGGCAATAATGGTGGTAGTTATCATAAATGTTGGGCAAAAGTAATAGTAGGTAAGTCAAGCTGCTGCTTAGATCTCAGAAGCAACAAAGGTTGCATGCCAGAGCTGTAGGGAGAAGCATCAACACTGTATGGAAGCCAGGTTCAACAGCAGCTCCAGATAGCAGGACCTTAAATAAGAGATATCGAGTAAGTGAAATATAACAGTAGCCTTCAAATAAGCATGGATTCACTCTCAAAAGTTATAAATAAGAATGAAAGGAAACATTTGCTGTACCCAGCCATCACAAATCATAAGGCATCTCCGTAAAAACCAGGACAGGACATGTGGAGCAAGGAACGTGTACATTGGTCTGCAAAACCATAACATATATGGCTCCTGATGTTGATTTTTCCCAAGTAATGCATCCTTCATGCTTTTTTTTTAAGCAAAGCACTAAACTGAGAGCAAGGGATGCTGTTAAGAACAAAGCAAAATGAATTGCTTGCCCTGGAGGAATTAAATATTTGTGACAACCAATATATATAAAAAGTGATGGATAACATCTGTGATCAGTAGCAAAACCACTAAAAATGACATTGATGTATTAAATATTTCTATACATGATCTACTCTGTGGTAATGCTGGCTTGCTGTTTTGTTTTCTAGGTGTAGGAATGAAACTAACTGATGTTGGCATAGCAACACTGGCGAAAGGGTGAGTGAAAAAAGCATTATTTCTCCCAGGCCTGCTTTGTGAGTTGGGCATCAGTCTTATGATGGTGCAAACTTAGTAAGAAAGGTCACAGCACAAAACATCTATTTTATATCACAGCTCTTAAAAAGCAAGCAAAATCTCAGTCAGCTTTTCCTGTTAACTACCAGCGGATAAAATGTTAATGGAATGGACACTGAAGGTTAAATCCTTTGGAAGGGGTAGTGATACGCACATCACAAAGAGAGTGTATATTTGTCATATAGGTTCATGTCTCAGTTAATTGAAATGATAAGTAACTTAATTGGTATGCTTCCTAGGAAGACAATCAAAAAGAGAAGCCATTTTATTGTTTTACTCAAGTTATAATTCAAAGGTTTATTCAAAGATGCTTAGAAGCATGCAAAAATCAAGATCATATATATAATTTGAGGCCCAGCACAGACACTGTAGGATTCATGCACAAACCCTTGGTCTGTTTCGTAAGCTATAATGGGCTGAATTTAGAAAACAATCTAAGCCTAACCCACAAAAACACTTTTTGAATTGTTTGAAAATAAGTCAGTATCTTGCTGATAATCAGATTATGGGTTTCTTACATGTTTAGCACTTGATCAATTTAGATCTAAATTGTGACTAGCCTTAATATCATTGCAGACCTGAATATGCACCATGGAAGGGGATGGAATAATTCCACAATAAGATGTGGAGAAATGTATTAAACATTCAGTTTTGTTTTGTAAACCACCCAGAGTCGTTCAACGAGATGGGTGGTGACAAATTTGATATATAAATAAAATAAAAAAATTAACCTTAGTTTCTGAACTCTTAACTTATTATAAGTTATATTTTTGTGATACAATTGTACACTCTTACAGAGTGAACAATGTCTCACTCCTATACTGTTTAAATTTTTTAAATTAATTGATAAATGACAATTGTATGAAAATCAGAATTTTTTTAAAATATGGGTATTAAAACAAGCTTGTTGATATATTTTGATAAACAGCCAGAAATTTTCATAGGAAAATTTAGCTGATTTTTTTCCCTCTGATTGTAAAGATTGCTTTTGTGTACTGCTAAACAATTCCACCAACTATTTTATCAACTACAGGCACAAAACTTTCATCAAGGTCTGTGCTTCTACTATATACTTCTGAAAGGCTGTTTAGATTCAGTAACAGCCTTACAAACTCTAATAAGGAAATAGGGAAGATATAAAGGACAAAACTAATTTTGGGACTTAAGAGATAAGAATATTGTTTGAAACCATCTGTAAATGGCAATGAATATTGTCTTTCAGACAGCTAGGAGGAAGAACCAAAGGATATCCTAGGGAAGACAAGGAATTGATCACTGCTGGAAGGAAACTGAAACAATAATATAAGGCAGCCCACCAAAATTACACCTTGGGACTGTAATTTCAAATTGCCCAGAATAACTTATTATGCAAAATAGCAAAAAATCCTGAGGGCAGTATGGAACCAAAAGTAGAGGTGGGTGGACAGCCTTTCTGAAGGCTGTGCTGAAATGCTACTCACCTGAGCAGGTAGATCCACCTGAACAAATACCAGCATGAGATGCACTTACTGCTATCTCGTTTAGATTGCCTCTGCAGTCACCTCATTTTCATCCAGCTGAGATAAACAATGGCAAGGCCTAACAGATTTTATATACCTTGAGATGGCCCTTGAATACTGTTAGAGTAAGACAGAAAACATTGCTTTGCTCCTGGTACAGCTAAGGATGACTTAAACCTCTTTCACTCTTGGGTGGAGATGAGGTGAAGGCAATGCCATGGGAACATGGCAAAGTCGATGTTGCTAAAGCATAATTAGCAATGGCTGTGGTTAAGCACATGTGGAAAAATGTCCTAAGGAACCTCAATTGGATGAGGATATCTGCGGAAGTGTATTAGTATTAGTAGTATTAGTAATTCTATTTAGTATCTAAGCACAGTACAAGGCCTAGTTTTTCCCCACAATAGCAATCCCAATCCTGTGGAATAAGTTGATTGAGAGAGAGTGACTCATCCAAAGTCATTCAATAAGTTTCCATGGCTGAGGGTAGAGGTTAGTTTGATATCTTCACCAAACTGGATTTTGGGCTGAAAGATAAGAACTGGCCCCAAATCTCCAGGAAGCTTCTGTGGCTGAAAATCTGTATCTCCCTATTCCTAGTCCATCACCTTAACCACAGCAGCACTGACAAATCACCAGTGTTCTTGATGGAATTCCGAAAGCCACAATGAGAGGGCGAAACAGATGACAACAGACCTGGTACCCACAGAATGTAATTTTTCACCATGGATATCTAGAACTGCCTTAGATCATTTCAACACTAGTGACTTAAAGTGTCTTTAGAGTACCATCAATCAATGAATCAATCATCAAAGAAATGATATAAATCCTCAAGGGAGGCCTTAAACTATGCAAATCATATAATATTGCTTCAACGTACGCAACATAAGCAGGAGGCTTTTGTATCAGGCAAATAGCATACACTATCATTCCTCAACTTGGTGTTCTATACACATGCTGGACTGCCAGAATTTCTAGCCACCAAAGCCAATGCCAGTGATGGTTGGTAATTATGGGATATGTAATTCCATCCAATTGAAGGCACAAGACTGAGGAAAGGTAGTATAAAGATAGGAGATAAGATACTTGCCTCTCCTTTACCCTCTTGGGTGGCTCTGGCCTATTCCTAGCCAAGGATCAGATGCTGTAATATATCTGAGAAATATAGAATGAATATATATATGTACACATACACACACACACACAGAATATCTTACCATAACTCATCATTCAGACATACAGAGAGCATTATGAATAATGCATGAATATTTATTTTCCTTTCTCTGACAATATACATTTCCAGTAAACATACCATACATGTTATACACAATTACTCTAATTAATATTCTGCATATCGTTCCCAGCAGTAGCTAGAGGCCATTAATCTCTTCTTAAAGCAAACAGGAGTATTCTGGGAATATAGAAGGTGACTGTAGAAAAATATCTTCTGGTAGTTCATTTTTTTTCTCTCAGTAATATATATTTTCTCACTGTGATGCATTTGCAAAATAAAAGGAAGAAAGTAACAGCAGAATCTTCTTAATTACAGCAGAAGAATTCACCCTGACCTTTAAATAAGTTTGCAAAAAAGCTTGCTCATAGTACTGAATCTTGCTTAAAACAAGAAAGACCCTTGTTTTTCCTTGGGGTAGCTATGAGGAGTAAGCAAAAGGCCACTTCCATTTTAGAATAATCCCTGGTTAATGTTAAATTTGGGGCAGTCTTAGCTATAGTTTGTTGAAGCAAATTTTTAAACTTTGGGTGGGTTGCCTTGTTTGAATGAAACGGAGGTTTGGTAAGCTGCAGTTTATCAACTCTGATGACACCACAAGCTGCAGTTAATCAGAAACATGAGTGAAGAACGCTGCATCTCCCAGTGGGATTGGGAAAGGAGATGCATGGGCCAGAGGACTCTCCCAGACAGGGCAGTGTATCTATAATAGTGGAGCAAGTGACCACACACACACAAACACAAACATTCTCATTCCATCACTAGATCCATCTGGTGGTGCCAGGCCTCAGGTCTTCTGGCTCCAGTCATGCAGTTTGGCCTGACTAACACAGTCCAATTATTACATTTAAATAAACTTCTCTTCAGTTGCCTGAATCAACCATCATGTGGCTTGTTTCCATCGCCTTAGCATGTTGTGTGAACAAGGCCATTAGGGTCTGTTAGCCATGATTTAGCTTGAGACCCAAGCATGGGCATTATTTCAGCAAGCAGCAGCAGCCTGGAACCACAAGGTTTTAAATCTCAACTCTTGGGATTCCCTTAAGGATCATCTTCAAGCCATGAGAAAGGCCTGCAAAATTCTTGCCTCCTTATGAAGAAACCTGATTTCTGATGATAGCTGGGTGAAGCTCAGCTCTCTTCTCAAAACTAGAGGAAGGACTATTTTAGGTGGACTCCTTCAGTTCACAAAATCCATATTTAGCAGAGCATATACGTGTGGGCTCTCATCCTAGTCAGCAAGTTCAAGGATGCCTCTGTTGAGGAAGCAGGGTCAGTCAGCCCCATAAGGTAGACTAAGAAACCAATGTCAGATAGATCAGGATTACCTTTATTGTAACAGTGATAGTAACAGAATCTTGCAGGTCCAAATGTGCTTCCCTCCTCCCCAGTTTATCTTAGTTTCTTGGAGCAGTCTGAAGCTCAGCTTGTCTGATCATTGCCTTGATAGTGGTTCTTCCTCATGTTCTACAAGGCCAACCCCTATGCCCCCTGCAGGATCCCCCATTCCCTGTCACATTCCCAGAAACAATTGTTGCTCAGTGAGCTCCAGATCTGAGTTTGAAGTACAGACCTCCAGAGGGACACATATTTGAATCTAGAATTCTTTGGGGATAAAATGTAAAGATACTCTACTAGACCAGGCCTCATCCTCGAGGATGGAGATAGAGGAGCATGGGTGGGGTAGTAATGCTGGAGACAGATAGCCCGTGATGTGCCTCTCTGATGCTTTGGTTGTGTGCAGGGAAGTGGGTAGCCATACTTTCATGTTCTGAGAGCACTCTCTCCTATGCCTTGGCATGGTTTGTTTAGTTCATGATCCTATGTGGTGGTGTGGCACATGCATGCAAAAAGGGAGGCTTTGCATCATGATGGCACAACACTTCTGAGTTTATTAATAAGTTTAAGTATGGGGTGCAAATGGAGTTTAAGTGTGTTTTCTTTTGTGTGTTGTGGTTATCAAGCAGTGGTTGCTAACTGCATAAAAGGATTTGGACTTTTTGAAATGTCTAGAGTACTGATGAGGAACCAATGACCCTCTGGATATCGCTGACCTAAAATCAAGCAATCATAGACAACGTTGCTAATGGTGAGGTATCTTAGGTTTTGTAGTTAACAAATTTAGAAGGCTACAGGTTCCCTGCCTTAGAGGATCAAGGCATTTGAGGTGATGAATTGGTAGCATTGTAGGTATCTTTTCCACACAGTGTCCTTGTTATGAAGAAAGGTGTGCTTGGAGCAGGTTCCCATTAACAATTCATTGACTATCTCCATGTACTGACTGCCAGCTGGTAATTTCTTGTTGGTAATTGTTGAATGCAATTGTTTTTAGGCCATTTATGTATAATATAAATGGAAATGCCTCATTCAAATTTTAGCTTTTGAGCTAAAATGGAATTAGTACAGGAGTGTTTCCTGATCTGTGGACTTCGGCTTCCAGAATTCCATAGCATGGCCAGTTCTGAGGATCCTGGGAGTTAAAGTCCATACAACTGGAAATGTTCAAGGTTGATAAACAGTGAATTAGAGCATCCTTTCTCTTTACAGCAGGGTTTCTCAACCTTGTCCATTTTAAGACGTGTGGACTTCAACTCCCAGAATTCTCCAGCCAGCATATGCATATGTATATGCATATGCATATGCTGGCTGGGGAATTCTGGGAGTTGAAGTCCACATGTCTTAAAGTAGACAAGGTTGAGAAACCCTGCTTTACAGCAAGAAAAGATTAACAGCTTGCCGTATAGAAGTTTCCTTCCATTCAGTAGAGGGCATACTTTCTCTCCTTTTCAACAAAAAGTAGTATTCACCTTCTAAAACACTGAGCACCAATGTTGGGAAATCAACTTTTATTAACCAGATAGCTAATGGAGTTCACTCTGCTAAGTTGAAACAGATAGATTCTTGCAGGGGTCAACTGAAAATAGGCCAGATGTGGAAGTATACAGGAAACAGGTCACTTCCAAATAGCCCATGTAGATTACTGTATCTAACTCACTGCTCAGTGCAGAAATCTAACTGGAAGCACCTTGATTGATAGATGTCCAACACATCAAGGGAAAGGAAGCCTACCATCTCTCTGCAGAATTGGTTCCAGGGTTGAATTATTACTGTTTGGAAGGTTTTTCTTAATATTCATTGAGAATCTGCTTTCCTGTAATCTAAGATGGTTATTCTTTATCTTGTGTTCTGGAATGAGTCCTCTAATGTTAACCTGTGACATTGTTTTGGGTATTTGGGCAATGCTACCGTATCCCCACTCAGGTTTATTTTCTCAAGGCTAGAGATACCCAGTCTCCTTGGTCTCTCCTCATTAGAGTTTCCAGTCCCCTAATCATCCTCATTGTCCTGCTTTGCATTTGTTCCAGTTTCTAAGAGTCCTTCTTAAAGTTTGGATACAGTGTTTAAGGTAGGGTCTGACCAATCCAGAATAAAGTAGTGGTATTGCAATCTATGATTTGGAAACTAGACTGCTGTGGATACAACCATATGTACATCCATGAATGTCCATTGTGTTAGTCTATTTTGTGTTAAACAACTGTATGTACAAGAGAGCCAGTTTGGTGTAGTGGTTAAGGCATCAGCCTAGAAACCAGGAGACTGAGTTCTAGTCCCACCTTAGGCATGAAGCTAGTTGGGTGACCTTGGGCCAGTCCCTCTCACTCAGCCCTAGGAAGGAGGCAAGGGCAAACCACTTCTGAAAAACCTTGCCAAGAAAACTGCAAGGACTAGTCCAGGCAGTTGCCAGGAGTCAACACTGACTTGAAGGCACCAAAAAAACCAACAAAAAAACCAACCTTGTATGTACAGCACTGAGGAGTAAGAAACAGTAAAGAAAAGGCCATCGCCACAATTTATTATGCTTCTTCATAACTTTCTATCCTTGCAAACTATCCTTGCTCAACCATCTCCATAGATGACCAACCACTTCATACACTGCCTTTTGTTCTTTAAAATTCTCATCTCTCTCTTTTCCAAAATTTCATCAACTCTTTCTTTCTTCCCCTTCATCTTAACCCCATTCATTCTCTCCAAACTACCTTAACCTACTTCTTTTATATGGAAAGAAATGAAGTATCAGTCATTTTGGTATTCATTCCACATTCATCCATCCATCCATCCATCCATCCATCCATCCATCCATCCATCCATCCATCCATCCATCCATCCATCCATCCATCCATCCATCCATCCATCCATCCATCCATCCATCCATCCATCCATCCATCCATCCATCCATCCATCCATCCATCCATCCATCCATCCATCCATCCATCCATCCATCCATCCATCTTCTATTCATTCTTGACCCTACATCTTCCTGTTTTACTACACATGCTTCAAAATATCCCATTCCCACTGTACTCTTGACATACCCAACTCATGTTTCCCTTAAAAAGGTGAGCAGAAGCATGCTTTTTGAGCAAAGGCTCATTCCTCACAACTGCTGTTAGTATGTGTTACGAACCTTAGTGGTACCCATGTCATAGGCAGTAATCCCTGCTAATCACATGAACGATGCCAGCCAGTTTTAGCACACTACAGTCAGTAGTGTAAGCAAATTTCAATTTCATCCAATGCATACTTATGCTGTTCACTGAAACCTAGGACCTCTGATCTAGAAACTATCTTGCAAGCCAACACACTGTTGCCTGCATCCCACCAACTAGGACAGTGTTTCTCAACCTTGGCTACTTTACATTGGGTGGACTTCAACTCTCAGAATTCTGGCTGGGGAATTCTGTGAGTTGAAGTCTACCCAGCTTAAAGTTGTCAAGGTTGAGAAACATTGATCTAGGAGGTCTGTGCTCACAACCAGCATGGAGCCTAAAACCACCCTTACCTTTTTAGCAGCGTCCTCACGTAGCCAACTCCCATTCAGGTAACGCTCATTCCAAGGGCTTTTCACAGATACCCTTATCTACCAAGTCAGGGTAGATATTATTTCTCTTTTTCTTAAGTGAAAAACTTGGCATGAGTTTTGATTACATTTCTTTCTGTTGTTTTCAGCTCATTTCCTTGAGCTATCAAGGTTATTTTGAATGTTGTTTCGTTTGATAAAGACTCCCCGCATGGTCTAGGTTTGTAATGGTAGCAAGAGTGTCATTGTTTACCTTATGTACGTGGGTGTGCAAGAAATCTGCAGAGGGCGCAGATGCTTTACTAAGAAGGAATGTTTGAAAAACATTAGGATATGTATAATCCATTGCAATTCTGAGAAGGAATTACATGTTTCCTCCCAGCCTGGCATGTGAATATTTCTAATTAGTCTTTCACTAGGTGGAATGACTGATATTCAAAAGCAATGCGACTTGAAACATTTTATTGCTTTTTTTTTTTTTCTCATGTTGAAATTTTGAAAGATTGGTGCCAGGTTGCGGGGGCATGCTTGTGTATTTTCAAATACTTCACCACTGACACCCCCCCCTTGGAGAGCTGTCTTCAGCAGAGATTGTTCAAAATGACAGCAGTCTTTTTAATAGGAGATTTGTCTTGGAAAAAGCCGTCAGCATTTTGATTGAAACAAGAGAGGCAGAACTGAGGGGGAAAAAACAGTTTCTTGCAGCTGTTAACATCACACCATCTTTGTGGCGTTCGTTTTCCTCAGATTTCTGTATGGCATCATCTGCTTTTGTCAGAGCGTTAGGAATGTCTCTGGCAGAAGAAAGATGGAGAGAAAAAGAGGGAATGCTAAAGGGAAAAGTAAATGCAATTATGACATTTCAAGGGTAGTAGAAGGGGTTTCCTACCACTGTCTCCTTTCCAAACAATCATACAGTATTTCCCACCCCTCACCCACCCCCCCATTCCTGGAGTGTGTGTGAAAAAGGAAAAGAAAAGCCAACAGAAAAATATTTCCTATTTTCAGCATGATTGAGCTTCAGCTAGGAAAAATATGAGCGGCCATACTTCCTCTTCACAATCCCTAGATGAGTTTTGCAACAGATATCAAAATGCTTGTACTGTATAAAGACTTCTTTTGGAGAAGGGAAATGTTTGAATGAAGGATTAACCCAGTTAAAAATGATAGGCTGCTGTTAGTTATAAGTAAGCTGTTTGGTGTGGCTTGGAGGAACAATACTTAACTCTGGAATTTTACACCAATACAGGGAAAAGTTACTTCCAGAAGATAGGTGTTGCATTTTAAAGACTGGCATATTTTCAATATATACATTTTTAGGAAGTACAGACCAACTTAGAACAAGAAGCATATGTAAACTCATCCATGGAAGGAGGAGGAATTTGAGTAGTGAGATAAGAAGGAAATGAAAACTAAACCTCATTACACCCCCGCCACCACACACACACACACACACACAATAGACACATAGAGGCCCACCTTATTAGCAAAGATTGGTTCCTCATTTTATAACCAGATTTTAGTCACATCATCGTTTACTATATAGATGATGATAAAATAGGAAACAACTGCCTTTGGTTAGTGACTTTGCATTTTGTTAAATATATTGCTGGTTTTTTCTTTTACTCCAGCACCAACAGACAACTTTCATGATATTTACACTGACAACACACCATTTTCCTGAGGACGGAGTTGGTGGCATTCAGTCTAACTGGGTTAATACCAGCAGTGGCTACATTATATGGGTGGATACAGAGAACACACATTTTTCTCAAATCAGTTTAGGAAGATTAAGCATTTTAGTGGAATTTATAAAAAAGATGAATGAAGCCAGAGAAATTAAATTTACTTCTTCTCTTTCATTTTTCAGGTACAAAGGCTTCAAAGGCAATTGCTCCATCTCATTTATTGATCAATTCAAGGTTCTCCATCAGTGCAACAAATATTGTGAGATGTTGGGACTGAAACCCCTTCAAAGCAGTGGTCTGAAACAGAAGAAGCCTGCAGTCTCCAGAATCAAGGCACAATCAAATTCAAGTATTGCAAAGAAAATGTTGGTCAGTGCGCAGGCTACCAAGAAAACATAGGATCATCATTTTTTCCTGAAAGAAATATTTATAACTTTTATCTTTGCAGCAGGACATCTTTGGAAATGTATATTGATTTTGTTGTGGTTTTTTCTGGATTGCAATGTGCCAGCAATGACCCTTCCTCCAAGCAACCTTTGTAGCTCTAATCAAGCATATGTGTGGATTGCATAAATAGACCAGAGAAGGCTTACACCACCTCTCCTTTGGTGGTGGTGCCAAACTTGGGGAAATTTGAATTTAATGGATCCCTTCCATGTAAGTCAGCTGCTACAAACCCACAGAAATATATGTAGGGTGTTTCAAAACACTTGTGATGAATATATTCCACGTTTTTCTTCTTGCTGCATCTTCACTCCAAAAACAGCTACTCCTTCTTCTAGGTGTTTCTGAATGTTTGCCTCATGGATTAACATTTAAAAAATGGCAGAAACAACATATAGAAGAGAAATACAACTCTGGAGTTTACATGCATTTTGTTTTATTTTGCACTATTTGGAATTGAGAGCTATGTCAAATATATGATAATTGTATTTGTGAAACACAGAGTGGTAATCTTCAGGTGATCTGAGAGCTGCGTGGAACTTTTGACCACCATAATGTTATTTCATAGAATCCTAGAGTTGGCAGTGCCTCAGTTGGCAGCTAGTTTGACCCTCTGCTCAGTGCAGAATCTGTCATTTGTAACCTCATATCCCTCACTTTACCTGATATAAGTCCTGGGGCCTGCAGATACTGCCACTAACTTTAGTGTAGCATAGTAAGTCTTAGTAGATCCAGACACTCAGTGGTTCCTGTCTCATTGCTGGCAAGTATGTACTGTAAATGAGGAAAAGAGGAGAGGAACAACAGGTGTAGAAACAGCTGTACAGAAGAAGGTATGTTTGCATATAGTACGTGATACAGAATTTGCAATATGACTGAGATGTGATAACTAGAAATCCCATTAGATCCGATGGAAGTTCCATTCAGTCTGGTATCCTGTTTTGTACCATGAACCAGAAGCTTCTAAGAAGTTGACAAGCAGCATATGAAAACAACATCCTCCCTGCCTTGCTAAACATGCTGTTAAACATGGAGTTTCCATCAATATATTTCAGGAAGAGAAGGAGATTCCCAGTTCAAAGCAAATTGTATGTCATTATGCTGACATATGTCAGTGTAGAAATCTGGCATCATGTTGTCTCTCTTCAGTTTGTAACACATTGATCTCAAAAGAAACTAAATCATTTTATTATACCTGTTAGATCTATCTTAGATCTCCGTCATCTCTGGTTTTCTTTCCTAATGGTTTATGCAGTAATACTTCCTACTGTTACTCATGTTCCTAATTAAATTCTTTCCCCCCAATTAATTACAATGATTTCACTTTACATGATGCAAGACTGTACCAGTCTTTTCTGTTTCCTGTAATGGCCTTTAATTCATTGTCAGTCATTTTGATATTTAAAGCAGTTGCTCCTGGTAAAGGAAATGTTAACCTTGAAAGCATTCAGTCAGCGTATTGATTACAGCTTCATAAAAGTATTAAGTAAGACATTAAGTAAGTATTATATTTTTTGTATGTAGAGTAATAACCCTATATTAATTGAGTATAAACAATTATTGTTAGAGCATACTAAATCAGCTATTCAGAAGTGTAGAGATGCACAGAATAAGAAACATGTGTGCAGTACATGAATGCCATTTGAACATCTGTATGTCCCATTTCTGCAGGTTTAAAATTATAATTATTTCAACATTAAACACATATGTACGTGATCAGGACAAAATGGATGAGTTCAACTAATAGTTGAATATAATGGTGCTCCAAAAGCAACATTGATTCATAGGATGTAGTCTTGTGCTGTCTGCAGCACATATTAGTTTTATACTGGATGGCTGATTGGTTTCTGTAGATGCTCACACTCTTTTGAATCAACAGGAAGACAACAACAGTGGTCATTGTATGCTTCGATGAACACAAAAAGATTGATACTAGAGGGTTGGAAAAATACACGTTCTCCATAATTATACAATGGCTCAGTGTTTCTCAGTCTCAACAACTTTAAAATGTGTGGACTTCACACTGGCTGGAGAATTCTGGGAACTGAAGTCCCCACATCTTAACATTGCTGAGATTGAAAAAGATTGCAACGGCCCAGGGCTTCTGTAAGTGGAGGTCAAAAAAGTTAAGATGGCATCTATGACTGGCCAATTAAAACTCTCGCCTTTTTTACATGCAGCACACATAAAAAAGGGGCAGAGCTTCAACCGGACACATGTGACTGCCATCTTCATTCTTTTGATTCCCTCCGATGGATTCCCCAGCAATGGCCTGAAGAATTCCCTTCTGCTTCTATACCTGAACAAATACTTTATGACCAGCAGTCTGACTGGAAGACTTTTTAGAAATCTGGACTGCATTTACTAAGTTATATGTTTAATTACCTATTTATTTTTCTACTGTTAAGGAAAATATTTAAATGTTGATAATGTCATTATACAACAATACAAAGTATATATATGTAAGGCTAGATTTTATTAATATATGACATGTTTGTTTTTGTGGGCTTTTTCCTCCTTTTCTTTTTGCATATCTAAGTAAGTCACAATATACAATGAGCCTGAGGATAGTAATTATGAATGATTTGAAAGATACAAGAAAATAATTAGCTAGTCACTAAACCGACTGATCTCCAATCCAAGTCAGTCTAAGCAATTCAAACCCTTTTAGAAAATTTGTATGATGGTACTTTGCATATCATTTGCTATATAATTTCCAATACATTGTTGATCTTGCATCAGATACTTAATCTGTTGTGCCATTTAATGAATGGTTGATGTACATGAACCAGACCCCATAATTGCTATTCACACTAAGACAAAGCTCTCCACAATATCTAAAACATCCCTTAAAATATAGTAGTTTTCTTGAGGCAAGCTTGATGTCTGATGGCCACATGTCTGTGTCCATGTAGTTTTCCTGCCAACATATAAAAGTTATTAATTATTCCCTTCTTGTTGGATTTTTATTTTTATTTTATTTTGCAGTCTAGACTACAATCCTGAGACTTCCTGATTGTCTCCCATTTGTCCAACTCTGTGTTGCTTTATTTCAAAATCCGCCAGAGTTCCACTCAATGTTGCTTCCTGTTCCCCACAATAAACTAAATGACACATTCACTGCTCACTAAATTCACTGTTGTTTGCATTCAACCTTCTATGTATCCCTTATACCAGGAGTTCCCAACCTTTGTGAGAGGGCACACTGGAAGCCTGAGAATGTGAACATGGCTCTCTCACAAAGCAGTTGCCATGTTTGTAATTGTGTCTATTCACAAAATATGAAGTTACCACCCCTGTCCAGAACCACACGATGTTCTTTACCTTCTTAGTTTTATCCTTACTTCTTTGAAAGATGGGAGCAATTCCAAATAAAGCACTAGGCTGCCATACATGTCTTTCCCTTAGATGACATCCACAATTGATTCATAACCATTTTCAGTTTACTTTCCATGAAAAATAACCCCATAGGCACTTTTTGAAACCGAAAATGATTCTTGAGGATAACACTTTGCTTTGAAGGACACTAACTTTCCATTTATTGACTTTTCATTAAAAGTAGATGTTAATTAAAAGAACCCACAGCAGGTAGCATCACCTGGCTGATCTTGTTTGAGTGGAAGCTAAGCAAGGTCAGCCCTCGAAGGTAATTGGGCTATAGACTAGACCAGGAACATCCTGGAAGAAGACAGTGACAAACTGCTTCTGGATTGTTGCCAAAGAAAGTACCAGATGTGTCCAAGGAGTCACCAAGAATTGAGCATCGCTCAAAGGAACCAACTTAATTAAAATAAAATCTCCTGGAGCATGGAAAATGTCAGTTGGCATGGTGGCACCTGTGGACATCATGTTGGGGACTCAGGCTTTACAGTGTAACTACCTGAATTCATAGGGATCCTTTGCTGATACCAAAATCAAAGAAAAGTTTCCTTTGGAAAAGGGTCATTTGCAGAACATGGGCTGTCTCTAAGTTTCATTCATTAATCAAATGTTTAACAAGTGTCGTTATCAACAAGTGCTGCAATCAGTTGCCATGACAATTGGCAGTGCTGCATCCATTATTTAAATGGAATAATAATTAAAAAAAAACAAAAACTAGTGCAGAAGCTCCTCAGCCTCATCAGAACACCCTGACATACCAGAAAGAGACTCGATTTTTTTTTTTTTTTTAAAAAGACTCCTACGTTTGTGGTCTGCTTGCTGCTTTGGAGCAACTCTAAGGATATTTGAAAAGTATCTGGGAAGATTTGCCCTTTATATATCATAGCAGAAAGTTTATTGTAGGTCAATCCTTTGCATGCTTACTGAGAATTAAGGGTTGTTATTTAAAACTGCAATCTTACTGCTACAAGAAAAGCCACATTCTTTTAAAACAAAATAGCATAACAGTACTGTAATATTTAATGCAAACATAACATTTCACACAAATTGGCACTATGCATGGATCAACGCACATCTATTTTTATGCAATTTGACTTCTGCTTGTATAATGACATTTCCCCATGCTTTCCTTCCTTCTGCACTCCTGTACCACCACCACCACTACTACCCCATGTTTGCTCCAGAAGTCCCACAATTTCTGCACCATATTTGAGTGTGGAGGTGAAAACAGAAAGGAAAATCTATTTTTTACAGTATTTTTCATTTAACAGGCAATGGACATGCTGGAGGCTAAATACGCAGACAAGGTGTCAAGACAGGGGCATGAAAAGCATCAGTGAAAACAATCTCATGAAATATATGGCTTAACTTTAAAGTCATTGGTGGCAGAACGGAACAGCTGTCTGTGAGACAGGAATTCCAGTCATGAAAGCATCACAATGACAAATGCAAAAATGTGGGGAAGAACCCAGGTGAGTCAGGATAGACAAGTAGATCAGCTTGAACAGGAAAAAAAAAAGGGGGGGGACATAACAAAAAGAAAAAGGAAGAAGCAAGAAATTTAAGATAAGTAGTTTTTAGGGAATAGTGCAAAATAGATGATCTGATGGAGCCAGAAGAAAAAGGAGAGGGAGTCAGTATGCTGAGGAAGAACATCAAAGCCAGAGATGATAAATGATTACACCAGGAAAGAAATAGATATAAAATGGCAAGCAATATTTTTAGAAAACATTGGTGACGGAGCATAGTTTTTCCCTCAGAGGAGCAGGTCCATGATTTGGGATCCACTTTGGCCTTAAGCTCCTGCTTAGAGCAGCAAGCGGAGGACAATATGGCCCTGCTTGAACCAGAAAGGGTTGGCAGCAGAGACTCACATCCTTATCACTACACTCTTGGACGACTGAGATGCATAGAGCAACTCAGAAGCTACAACGGGTTCAGAATGCAACAGTGAGATGGCTGGTGGGTGGATCCCATCACTGCAGAAAAACACCTATTCTTGGTCATCCCATTGATTGCCAGTGGGTTTCCAGACCCAATTCAGCGTGTTGTTTGTTACCTGTAAAGCTTTACATGGTACGGTGCTAGGTTACTTTAGGCATGGCCTTTTCCAAAATGAGTGAGCTGGTTTTACAAGGTCATCAAGAGAGGTTTTGCTCAGGCATCATCCTGCGGAGGGACATGGGCCCAAAGACAAGCCTTCTCATTGGTGGCCCTTGCTCTATGGAACATGGTGTCCCTGAAGATATGTTTGATAACAAGTTTTAGAAAGGAGAAAAACTATGTTCTATTACGGCTTCTGCTTGCTTTTATTGATGTCCTTGTTCATATTGTAAGATCGAGGTTTGAGGTTTAGTACATGGCTCAGAGTTTTGATATTGGGAGGTATAAAAACAATGATGGAGTGACTGATAAATACATACATTCATAAATAAATATTGTGTGGGGAAAGGATGGAAACTACTACTTTAAATCTGATCGGTTAAACTCAAACTCAGAGAGCCTCAGCTCCAGACTGCAGATGAGATGAAGGGAATGTTGTGAGATTTTGTTAGGAACAACTAGTGAGGCATCTTTGTGGAAAGCTGTTACTCTGCTTCGCCAGAGGAAGAGTTGGCTAACACCTTCTCAGATTCTTTCTGAGTAGAATAATTCTAATGCAGTGTTTTTCAGCATGCTGCCTGGGAGTTGAAGTCCACACATCTTAAAATTGCCAAGTTTGAAAACACTGTCCTAATGCATGTATGTGTGTATGCAGAATAATCCATAAAACAATAATGAATAAAAATTGCAGAATCAGTAACTTCCTGATCCATAATCTGGAGAGTTAAATTTAAGGCAGTTTGCTGTAGCTTTGGCACCAAACAGTCCTGCAAAGATTCCATCCTTCTGTCCGTCCTTCCTTCCTTCCTTTTCTACCCCCCCCCCCCCAGTTTTCTGGAGGTATCTTGTCTGACCATTTTAAAGCTGCTTTAATTTTGGTTGAGCTGGATTTTTAATTTAGTCTCAATATATTTTAGGCAATAATTGCTTTTTATTATTGTCTGTTTTAT